ACCAAGTCACAGCGCGCAGCCAGCCCCTCTGAGGGAAAACAGTGACGAGGGAGACAGAGCGGGAGAGGGAGCCCTTGGCAGAGATAGCCAGTCTGTGTCTCACAGCAAGCGACAGCAAAGGACAGCAAGGGGCACCCTGTTTCCCGCACGACGTCTTTGAGGTTGAGATGGAAAGAGGATTCAAAATTTTTCCAAGTCCCAAGGGCCAGGCAGAGACAGAGAGAGAGAAACAGACAGAGATTGTGCTGTTGAAGGGCGCTCCAGCCATTACCGACCAGTCTATTATAGCACGGCTTCCGTACGCCAGCCAGCCAGACAGCGAACCAAGCTCAAAAAAGACCGTGGGCAATCCCGCTCCCAGTCCGCACGAGCTTCAATTCTGCATCCAATGTATGAAAACAATACTAGACAATAGACCAGGCTAGACGAGGCCAGAGGTCTTTGATCAATCGTCATGACAACTGAGACTTGAAATCAATTGGGAGAAAATACGAGTACAAGTACAAGTGGCGCAACAAACAGCGCGCATCCTGTGGTCACTGCATCTCTTCCATCCAGCGTAATTGAAGTCATGAATTGATCATTTGGTCGCAAATGCACATAAAACAAAGTCCATCGTAGCGCAAGTTCATTTCAATACAGGTGCAATGCGGTACGGTACAGTGCGATTCGGATTCAAGAAAAAAAAAAAAAAAAAAAAAAAAAAAAAAACAATACATTCCTCCCGTTGTCTTGCCTTGAAAACCTTGTCTGGTGTCTGATAAATGTCTGTTGCGGCCGTCAATATCCCCGTCTTGTCCGAATTGAACAGCCTCGTAAAGGAGAGACAAATGAAGAGAAAAACCCTGTTGCAAAAGAGATTTTGTACAAGAAACGAAAAAATAAAACCAATAGGAGCAGAACATGAATATTGAATATTCCCCCTTCGCCATGATTTTAGTTCCATTTTCCGTGCCGTGCCACCATCATGTGCGTATCGTCTTTCATATGCCATGAGTGGCCACGCCACCTACCTGACCATCATCGTCCGCGGTAAGGGAGAGAAAGCGCAGTGGTCATCAGGCCCCTTTTCTCGAGGCCCACGGTGGCCTCGCTGCCTCTCTTTTTGCCCTCCATCTTTGTCTTTTCAGAGTGGCCACCCACTCGTCTCAAAGCCAAAGTTCATTGCAAGGAACTCGTCTCCGAATCCAAACGCCATAAGCTCGTCATTCGTAAAATCCATGGGAATCATGTCTCCTCCAGGTCCGGGCATCATATATGGCATCATAGGGGCCGCTTGATCGTAACCAGCAGACATCTGATTGATGCCAGGCAGCATACTGTTAGGTTGAGCCGGGTTATTCATGATGGTATGAGACCACTGCTGTTGTGGTGCGGGTTGAGGTTGAGGCATTACAGGGCCAGGTCCAGGAGCTGGGCCCATCGCTGCTTCGGAGAGCATCTGCAGGCCACTCCGTGGCGGACCTTGTTGCTGCTGGTGAGGCTGTGGAACACCTCCATCAACAGAACCGCGGTGTTGTGAATTCCATGCCAAATTTGTCGGATCCTGCTGAGGTGGAACAGCCTTGTATGTGTTTGGCGGTTGTTGCGACTGTGACATATTGTTCCCAGCGCGAGCGTTGATGATTCCGTTCGCTGGCGTCCTCTGTCTTGAGACTGGCCCACTTCCGTTATTCACCGAGTCTATTCTCTTCATGTGCCAGCTCTTGAGCATATTAAAAATTAATGTGAACTTGTGCGCCACGCGGGACATCCCTCCTTCGCAAGCCTTGCTAAGCGCCTCTATCATTCGGTCCAGATAGTATTCCACCTTCAAATCTTTGTTCTTAAAGATGATGTTGAATTTAGAACCCTTGGCCGACACAGCGGAATACATCTTGATCAAAGCGACGGCGGCGTAAGAGTTCCGAACAAAGAAAAGGGTCGGTAGAGCCCGCAGAGCCGGGACGTCCATGGCCAAGAAGGCGTCGAACGCCGAATGTGCCGAGTTGATGCAGGTGGTAAGGGCTTCTATATGAGCTGGCGTGACATTATCTGGGTCCGGAGGGCCATCAATCGGGGTGGAGATGTAGGGAGGTCGAAAGTCGTCAATATTATGGTTGTGGTGCATGGCGATTTCGTGCATATACAGATTGAGAATTCCTTCAGTGTGTTGGATGATGGGCTTCTTGATCATTTCTTTAGTGGTGGCGTGTTGCCACTCGACCAGTTGGCGCTCGAATGTCTTTAGATGGTATTGGGTTTGTGGGTCGGTCAACGACAACGGCGAAGCCGGGTCATCCATGGAGAATTGAAACCCGATATCTTCAGCGATGTGTTGTCCACGCACGAGATGACAAAAGTACTTGTCCGAAGGATGCGCGTCCGGCGAAGAGGTGAGGATATCAATACACTCGTCGGCGTAAGGACTCCAGCGGATGAGTAGCGGCCGTCGGAGAGACATGGACGAACTGGAAGGTAGGGTCAGAGTGGAACGGTGCCAGTTTGGGGATATACTCACTTGGAACACATATAATAACAACCCAGCCAGCATCGTCGTACCTCCACGCTATTTGGATCCGACAGCGGTCTCTTGTTCTCATGATACGGTCGCCATATGCTTCCCCCACCGCGCCTCGATCTTTTACCCATGCCCAGGTCCAGAGCCATGACAGCAGCAATGTGGATCAGCTGGTTGAAGTTGAGCTCCTCGTATTTTTCTGGAGGCTGATAGAAGCAAGTCGTGACTTGAATGGTTTGAACCAACTCCAGCGACTTTTCTCCCCGGATAATGACCTTGTCGGCGAGCACTCTTGTGATTTCCAAAATCAGGCCAGGTTGAAGATCTGGTCGGACGGTACCCGAAGCGACAGCAAGCACAGCAAGGAAGAGGATGGGTCTGTTTTTGCGAATTTCATCGGCGTGGGTACCGTGTGGAAACACAACTATCGGCAGATGCTCGCACATTTCTGCCATATAACGATCGAAGCATTTTCTAGCGGTGGTGATGTCGATGAGACCGCGTTCGATCGGATCCACACTTGTCGGTTCATCAGCCCTGGTTGTATGTTCCAGAACAGGTTGATAGGTATTGGCGTGACCTATGGGAGGCTTGAACGACGGGGCGGAGGATTTATGTAGCTCTCCCCCAAAGTACTCATAGTCACTTGTAATCTTCCTCTTGACCCCTTGTTGCGGCGAATGTGCGTGCCCTGATGACGGCGGCGGTGGAGGTTGTGGCGGCTGCGGCGGTGGAGGTTGGTGCCATTGACCTCCAAATGAGTGTACGCGGGCATCCTGGGAGGCAGGGTGTGATACCGGTATGGTTGGGTCAACACCAACATCGGGCTCCGCTCCTCCTCTTGCCGCCAAAGTGGCCGTGAGAGCATCGATTTTCTTTTCCAACTCGGCCACTCGGCTGTCTGTCTTCTTCTGCCTCTTCCGGCTGGGAGCGGTCACGATGCATTGTCTGTTTGCCTTTGCACATCTCTTGCAGGATCCCGTGGGGTGGTTGTCGTCGGGTTCGCATTTCACCTTGAGCTGTCGACACGCTTCACAGGCGCGCGGTCTTTTAATGTCATTAGGGTCATTGGGATTACCGGACGGGCTTTGGTCATCAGGACTTTCCTGCGTATGTGAAGTGGTGGGGTAGTAGTTGGGAGTTTGGATGGATTGGTACGAGTTGTTGGGCGATGGCTGAAGAGACGGTTGCAGAGGAGAATAGGCACCAGGAGCAGGATTGTGGTAGTGCTGCTGAGAGTCGCGAGGTTTAGGAGGACTGCTCAGGTTAGAGCCTCGCAAGGCTGGATCGATGTGATTGAATGTGTCGATGCTGGCCATCGAGTCTTGATACTACAGTACTAGCCTGTGATTGTTTGATCGAGTCGGGTCGGCGATGGTTGATGGCGACTCGCCGTCGATAGGATCCGGAGCGCCGATGGAGACAGCTTCCTCTTTATTTCCCAAAGCACCCTGCAGACATTTGTGTCGCCATCAAGCAGTTGAGAAGAGGGTGATTTGAAAAGGCAGCCATCCAGGGACAAATGGGATGTGAGACTGCTTCGTTGCACGGGTTCGTGGGCAGGGTAGAGGTTGTGGTCAGGCAAGTCCGGCGTTGGGAGACTGATGCGATTCCTGCCCTCCGTCAGACATGACGACCTTTTGGGGGGGACAGGGGGGGCAAGAGGAGGAGAGGAGAGAGGAGCGCGCGGGCGAGAGCGAGAGCCAGGGTGTGGGTGCTCGGGACTACTGTAACTCGTCCATAGGCGGTGGTGGGCGCGACCAACAAGGACGTGCCTAGCTGCTAAGTACTTCGGCGACCCGCGCATGGCTCTCCTGAGCCTAGGGAGCTCATTGGGTGCCCACGCAGCCTAGATGCATTATGTAAACTACCCTTATCCGGCTCGCCTAGCTGTTGTCCTAGGCACTAGGTCCCTAAATTCCCTAAGTGCACAGCCACTCAATAATCAATCTGCTTGGAAGCTCAACCCCAAGCTTTTAATATAATATTAATAGCAAATCTCACTCCCCTAAGTGGTAAATTTAGGCCTCTTGTGCTACAAATATCAATGGCGCCGCTCAGCACGAGTCTGACTGGTCATGATCACGTATTTCAAAGGATCCTCTACTGTTTTGTCCAGACCCCAGAGGGCTCTATATAGAAGTTGAGACTGACTGATACCTTTTAGCCTGCGAGATATGGACACCGTTTTCAGGCCTGGTGAAACCATGACATATCGAACCCTCGTGGTTGGAAATGTCACACTTTATGTTTTGTACGAGGGATAATGCGAGTCATTCGGCTTGTTGTCGTGCTAAGTGTGGAAAATATCCATTCAAATATCAACCCCAGGCTTGCAGCTAAGCTCTCCCTCCCAATTCAACACTTTCGCTGGAACCCAAAGCAAGATACTTCACGAACAATATACCGAGTACGCCGCCGAGCATCGTTCGTTTTCACATCATCAGTCATGCATGATTCTTCCCGCAGAGAATCAAAAGGAGAGCCGTGTGTGCATCCATCATCCTAACAGCTTATGCACCGGGCATTCTGCTTTCCGTCCCAACCATTCCAAAATGCAGCTCCTGTGGAATTTACACAAGCACTCCAACCTGACCAATTCATCGCCCACATCATATTCAACCATGCAGATTGAACACTCTTGAACCTGGCCGTCTTCTTGCGAAACGCAATCTTTCTCGGTGGCTATAAACGTAAGCATTTGCAGTCGATGCGGTAATGCTTGGGGGTCCGGCTGTGAGATATAACCTCCTGTTTCAGAGCTCCCAGCTGCCACCACGTTGCTAGATTCGGCACGGTAGGTTGGATCACGAGCGTTAATACAATCCATTATATGTGTTTCACGGGCCGTTTCGTCGCCATTTGGACCGCGAGGGGGTAGAACCCGTCGACAGACTGGGCATATATCGCTTTCCTTCAGCCGTGGGCGCCCCGACGAGCTATCAGTAACGTCATGTGAGGATCGAGGGAGGGGTCGACGCAGCTGTGTCGTGATGTCGAATAATTCATCACGAGGGTGTCGGCTCTCCGGATAGCTTGGACGCGGACGGTTGGATGTCAAGCGTCCGTTATGGGGTGAATAATCCTGTACGGATCAGAAGGCTAGCATTGAAAAGGGAAAAATGATACGTACCCGAGATGGTCCCACGAATTGGCTTGTGCCTGCAGATATTGGTGATGCTTGGAAACGATATCTCGTAGGTGATGGTAGTTCTCTGTACGCACCAAACCATCCTAAAGCATCCGTCCTGGCCTCTAGACTGCCATATCCTGGCCCAGTGGCACGATGCTGGTTTTGAAGATAGGGATTGCCCTAAAAGAGCAAAAGTCAGCGTGATATTCTACATCGTACAACAACAGGCTTACCACCACCACAGGACTCCTGGTGTAATCTCCTATTCCCAAAGAGTGGCCTCTTGGCCTAGCATCGTGGTTCACTACATGGCCCAATCCTAAAGTTTGCCGTCCTCCGGCGCCCCATGGAGCTTCACGAGATGTGAAATCGGGGACGGGCGGATACCTCATGAGAGGATCGGGCTGAGGGTCAGGTACACAGGGATTGCATAGTCGTACTTTCTCTCCGCCCTCTAGCTGACTCTGAGCACCATAGGAATATGGGCTTAACGAGCTCCGAGACGGGTTGGCGTCATTGTCGGTCCCGCTGGAATCCAGTGATTCCGAGCGGTGCGCTCCAGAACTCACGGGAGAAGTAAGCACATCAGGACCCGGAGGGTGGACGATAAACTGTCGGGGGATTGTGATTCGATGGGGTGAACAATCATTACAGACGACCCTGCCGCACTTTCTGCAATGATGGCGCCTAAACATCCACGTAAAGGGCCGTTTGCAGATAGGACACTCGTTGACCTCAGAATCAGGCTGCCATCTCGGCACCACGAATCGTCGTGAACTTTCTGACGACGACCTGCGCACCCGATTGCCTCGAGGTGTTTGCGGGGGTTGCGGTGGGGGCGGCGGCGGCGGTGGAAGAGGAGGTGGTGGTGAATCTGTCAGATCTATAACCTCTGGGTAGTGTCGGTTGATGTTGGTATCAGATGAGACCTGACGCCGGGACGTGAAAGGAGGTGGAGGTCCATGAGGGGTATCGTGGTTCAATCTGCGATCGTGAAAGGCACTACTGTTTGCTCTTCTCCTGCCATCTTCATGTGTTGTTGAGTTGGTAAGCCTCCTCTTGCGATCTAGGGCGATGATGCTTCGCCTTCGCTCTTCATTGGCCTGTTCAGCGGCGGAGAGGGGGAGGGGAGGAAGACGATCTCGTAGAACGGCAGGGAGCAACGAACTACTCGGGCCAATTCCTGTGCCAGAGCCAGAGCCCGAAGCGAGGGACCGCGAGGCTGGTAGGTCGGGCAGCCGTCGTTGAGTTGATGTTTCTGTGGTCATCTCAGAGCGTCTGGAAGGGTGAGTGTGATGGCGAGTATGACGACGGGAAGCCTCCTGGTCAGAATCATTGTAGCTGCTCTGCGAAGTGATCGAGTCCGATGAAGACATGGCCTTTCTTCAATGTTGGAGTGCAACGGCAAAGATGGCAATGCAGCCTGGTTACCTAGAATCTTGACACTCAATAAGGAGGAAGTGCAGATAAGGCACGTGTCAAGGACAGTGATGACGGTGGCGGAAAGCGGACATATCACGGAGGTTGAAACGCGCACGGGCGGAACAGAATGGGAGTTAAAGAGGGCAGAGCAAGGCGTGTCTCCTCTACAGATACCCGGTGATAGATGGCATGATACATGGACTGGAAGAATTGTATGTGGCCACCCCGACAGATGCTGTGTCGTATCGCAAGTCCGGGATACGTAGGGTGCCTCCTAGGTACCCAGATAGGTGGATGACGATAATGAGGGTGGAAAGAACACCACTCAGGAATTGCTCTTTACAAGTACAAGCAAATCCTTAGCAACAGAGCACGTGCTTTCCGAGGAGTGTTGGGTTGCCGTCGCCCCGTCAGTTTTAAGCAAAGCATTGTCTCGGAATAATGATCAAGACTGGGGCCCAGTGTTAAGTCGGCTGCTGGGTGGCTGCCCTGGAGGCACAACCTGAGTCATTTGGGGGATTGTCTTACTAGTCCCCAAATAGTAAAGAGGGGCTAGGTGGCCACTTATGTACAAGCAGGTGGCTCGGATGGTCCTGTGCACCAGAAATAGACCGAGCACCACCGAGAAAATGAACCCGAGTAAAAGCAGGAGGACGCCACAGGGTCGCTCATAGCGGCAACTTCCCAGCTGAGACCTCCTCAAACAACATCTCCAACGAGGGAAAAAAAACGTCTTCATCCGAGGACATGCTCCTTCTCATTGGCCCCTGGAGTTTCCCTTCCATCAGGTTTCGTCTTCTGCGGCAGCAGTGCCTGCGTTCTGCGTTCCTCACCACCTTCATCCACCTTTCTCAACGTTCGCTTCAGGTTTAACACAACTGTTACTTGGATTTATCTTACCCTTTCACTATTGTAATCCATAGCATCTCCATCCACTTTACTATTTCCTGCATTCTAGCCATTTCTCTCGTTCAGCATCTACGTCGATACTATAACCACACTGCTAAAAACTCCTTGCACCACATCTGAGACACTCCCGCCAAGCAGATGACGATCGTCTCCCATCCACTCGCTCTTGTCAGTCGCCATTGACGAGCTTCTACATGTGCTTTGCCACTACATCTGCCTTGCCCCCATCGCAGGCGGCTGATTGCTAGGAAGAGACATCTAATCTGACTGCGTCCTCAATTCTCGACTACTTCGACCTCGACTTTCTCGAAGCGTGTCCACCGCGCGACCAGACCAGATGTTAGGGTAGGCGGAGAATTATCGCCTGGGAAGAGGAGGCACAAAGGTCTATAGCGCAGAAATGACTTCGACTAACCTAGACGGATATCGAGGTGCTGGCCGTGCACGGATATTCGAGGAGAAACAGTGTCGGCGTCGCCTGCGCTGGAGAAAGGATTGGTCCGGCACACTCACCATGGTCTTTTTGCTCCTCGTCCTATGCGCATCTTCCGTCCGCGCCGCCTATGTTGAATTCCACAATTGTCTGGACAGCAATATTGTCGATTCGAGTCCGCGCATCCTACAATTTGACCCTTTAAATGTATCCGCCGTGTTCAATAGCTCTTCAACCTCGGACCGGCACCATCTGAATATCACAATTTATGGCAATGTTACTGGAAAGGCCACTGAACAACCTTATCCCCCTCCTGATGATCCATCGTGGAACGATCCAAATGACACCTTTGGAAAGATCCCCGATTTGAGCGAGTCAAATAACAAGTACACCACCCTCTTCGCCCATGTCAACTTTCTAGGTTACACTCCATGGAATGCAGATCCTTCACGATTTTGCGAGTCCGTAGTCCAAGGCGAATGTCCCTTGGCTCCCGCCTTCTTCGTCAACCAGAGTGACCTGGACCGTTTATCCGCATTCTCTGTCGCGCACGATTTATCCTCCAGTTACGCCTTTGCCTCACTTCAAGCCACGTTGAGAGTTCAGTCAGGTGATGCAAACGGGCAATACTACAGCTGCGTCACCACTACAATCACTCCTGACCTAGGAGGATCTCTCAAGGCCATACTCAGATTTGTACCGCTCGTGGTGTTGATCGTGGTCGGAGTCGCTACCATTGCCGCCGCCATTCTGAGTCCGTGGGGGTCAGTGGACCTGTTTCATTGGAGCAGCAATTTTGGGCGTGACGAAGACTTGCTACGTCTAGTTACTCCAGGATTCGGGGACTGCCTGCAATACGTTCAATTTGTTGTGCTGACTGGCAGTTTGTCCTTGAATTATCCTGGTTTCTATCAACCGGCAGTAAGCCGCGTCTCATGGTCCTCGCTTATGTTCAACGAGAGTTTTGTGACTGGCGGAAATGGCACACAGAGCGTGGTAGACGGTATCTACGAATATCGTCAGGGCACCAAATATGGTCTTGATCGAATGAGCCAACTGGTCGGCATGACCTCAGACAAAGATGTCTGGGCAGATATGATCGTCTGGCTGGTGGTCATTGTTGCTGCCGTCTCAATTCTAACGCAAATAGGATTCGCGGTCCGCTGGATCTACCGAAAGATCAAGAGGGAGCCACCAGAGGATCTCCGTTCCAAAAACGGACCCTTCACGGCTGGAAATGTCGTCCGGCTGGTTATGAACTTCTTCTTGCTACCTCTAGCATCACTGTCTTTCTATCAGCTCCTGATTGCAGGGAAAGGGCCAGCATACTCCGTCGCATTAGCAGCCGTGGCGCTGGTTATCGTCATCGCTTTTTTGATCTGGGTACTGTTGTTGTTTGTTCGGACGAGACCACGCTCGTTCCTCTTCGACGATTTTCTGATGGTACTCGCCTACGGACCTCTATACAACACCTACTGTGACGACGCCGCTACTTTTGCGCTGATTCCGCTTGTCGTTAACTTTGTCCGCGGCATCGCAATTGGAGGTGTCCAGCCGTCTGGCATCGCGCAAATCGTGCTCCTGGCAATATGTGAGATTGTTCTGATTCTTACGATCAACGCTTTCCGGCCATTTCCATCAGCCACCTCCATGAACATCTATCACACTTGTTTTTCGGTCATCCGACTCATCACCATTCTGCTTTCTATAGCTTTTGTGCCTACATTGGACGTTGGAGATTCGTCGAGAGGCTGGATCGGGTATGCAATCCTCATTATTCATGCTTGCACCATGGTTTTTGGGTTCTTCCTGAATGCCGTACAAACTTTGGTTGAAGTCATTGCTCGCCTTGCTGGCGCTGGCGGACGGGATGAAGCAACAGGGGCCGCTACTAGAGGTGGGTTGAACAAGGTGTTTGGAATGCGACAACTTTCTCGACGGATGCCGCGGCGGGCTACCCAGGACCCGCGCCATAGCATGTCATCGAACGCGGCCATGCTGAACACGGTTGAAAATGATCACCAGAAGCTACAGATGGCTAAGACTAGGTCTCGCAGTGTTTCGGCGGCGTCGGGCGTTCTGTTAGAGAGCGGCGTGCACTCCAACAGGATCAGCCAGAACCTTGATGGCCGCCTTGTTGGCAACGCGACACCAGATAGATCCAGCAGGGGATCAAGGCGACTTACCGTTCGGCTTAGCGGCGCTGGATCCCTGGGGGGAATTGTCGGTATTCAAAGACAGGTGGAACAAAAGGACCCATACTATCGACCGCCGCGCAGAAACACAATGGATGCACTCGCCGGAGCCGACAGTCGCCCAGATCTAGCCCACGCGTCATTGAAAGGTGCTAAAGCAAGTGAAGGAGCGGTCGAAGACGACGTCGGCGAAGGACCTTCTACTCCGATGCCTGTGGAAAATGATGACTTTGAAGACATTAGCAACGATTTGACGAGGACAAAGACCGACTATGCCGTGAGAGAAGTTGACTTCTATTACGGCGTTCGTGGAGCTGCTCTTTCCAACAGCGGGACGCGGAAGCTCAAAACTGGGCCGGCCGATCCGACAGGGCCTGTATCCACAGCCACCGGATGGTTCAAAAATCTTTTGGGTGGCAAGACAAAAGAGAAGAACAAGGGATTCGAGGTGGTCAGGAGTGCCCGCGCTCCTCCTCCAGGGCTATTTCCACCACCTGCTCCTGTCCGGGAACCTCCGGTTACTGAACCCTACCACGACGACGTCCGAAGCGTAGAAGAGAGCCAGGCCGATCAAAATACCGTGGGAGTCTCGTCTCTCCCTCCACAACCCAAGGTCCAGAGACAGAGTCACCATCAAAGCGTCTATGATGACATCTCCGTTGCAGGTTCTGACGACGATGAGGAAAATGAGGAACCAGAAAGTCCCGTCTCTGCAAGGCCGCCATCGTTGCCCCTGATCGAATCCGTGGGTGGTATCGAGTTGCCCAGTCGCATTGGGTCGGAGGCTTCAAGAAAATCCCGCGGAAAGCCCCCGCGCGTACCTGAGACAGACATCCCAGCAGTTCCTGCCATTCCTAGGAAGAGTTCACGACGACAATCAGGTGGCGATTCGGGCGACAGAGGACTGGCTGACTCTGCGTTGTCTACCTTACGTCCAGCAGACTTCTCATCCCGAAAAGCGCCAACGACAACGTCGACGTTGGGTACTAGCCGTATCCCTTTTGCGAATACACAGCCTTCAACATTTCGCAACAAGAGATACTCGACTGGGGCAGAATCGACCACGTCGAGCGTGCTTCGCGATGGAGACGAGAATGCTACCGTGCACCCCTCATATACAACTCAGATGCGCCAGTCGGCCACATCCGCGTTAGGGACCCACGGAGCCGATCTTCGCAATGAGCGACCGTCAAATATGGGTTTTGTGCAACAACACAGAGCAAGCGACCATATCCACCAAAGTCCGGATTCGCCAGAGTTCGAAGGTAGCACCGCAGAAGTCCATGGGCGTCCGGCTTACTGAGCAACGTATTGACCATGGGCCTTTGGCAGGCATTACGAAGTTCACGACCGTTTTGCAGAATAGATATTGTGCGGAGGGTTCTAGATGATTGGAGACAATCATCTGGTGCGGAACTACTTCGAGGGTACACGATTCTGGCAGTCTTGTTGCAATCAGTGGTCAACAAGAGAACTGAGCCAGGGGCAATCAGAACATTCGTGTTGGGCTTGTGGGAAAAACTACACTTTGGGTTTGATTTTTTGCCAGTTTGATGAGCGCGGCGTTCGGACCTGAGCATAAGGGAATGATGTATTAGGCCTATTCTTTGACACATACATGTAATTAATAGTGTCCCTGGTCTCTCTCTCTCCCCTGTCCGTGCAAGTGTTTTGCAGTGCCTCTGCGTTCAAGCTGTGGAAATCGGAGATTTAGGAGTAGAGACCCCAGCATGGACATATATCCCGTCCTTGTACGAACAACTTGACCTGCCTCTCGATTCTTCACCTCAGATTAACCCGCCTTTCCCACAACGTCCTCAACAAGAATCAGCACGGGCGGCAAAGAAAGACAGCACACTACCAAGCCAAGTTTCCTGGATAGGCCGGAAGAAGACAAGTCGTCCTGTACTATGGTATCATCACCCTGCGCCCTCCTGAGGCTCTTGATGCTGAACTTTCGTTATTTGCCAGAGGACGTCTTCATCGGCCTTGGGACGTTCTAAAAGACAGCCACAGATCCTTGTCCCTACGCCCCTTTGCGCAAAAGCCTTCGCCCAGACGAATTCGACCAGTGCTGTATCATCATTCCCGTCTCCTGACTAGGGTGTGGGAGGCAAGTTGAGGAGGGCTGAGACACAATGGTGAGCGCCACCTTGGGCTATGACTACATGACTGTGGGATTGCCAACCACCACCATCAACCTCCGATATGACACAGCTGGCCCTGAGGGGGGTAGGCGTGGACACAGAACCCACGGCCTGTATAGGCATGGCCGATAAAGGCAGAACCTTCAAATGTGGACGTTTAGGTATCAAATGGCCTGGTAGCTTTGATGCTTTCACCACCTCGTGCACACTCCTCGTGCTGCACGGTCCCTGCACTTAGATCAGAGCGAGGGGTTGACAAATAACGATCGACCGGCAGAGAGCGACTCCGAGGAGTTCAACAAGCTACTTCAGGCACCTGTTGCCCTGACACACTGGACTTGCGGCCTATCTGGGACAAGGTTCGATCGACTCGCGAATGACATGCATGTTTTACAGGCTTTTTATCACCAGAAGATGGGGCTCCTCTCACCCATGCACGAGGCCTGAAGCCAAAAAGAGACAACTGACTTCTGTTTGAGGCCACGTCTGGCAGGTTTGGACCTTAAGGAAGAGATATTCCCCGCCGGTTCGAAGCTAGATCTGCCGAATGAGCAGACCTAATGCGTCGACGGTCTGGCGATGTGGATGGTGAATGCAGGCACAGATTGGCCAGGAACAAACATGCGGTGTCGTTGTAACAACCACGCTGAGCGTGCAGGCTCTCGGCAAAAGACGACTCGTTCTACTCAGGAATTCAATGAGACTAGCATCCCACGCTCGGCCACAGGTCGGCATGTTCAATCCGGACGTCAGGAATGCGCCTGAACAAGAAGATCTTCCCCAGGCACCGCGATACGAGATGGGTCTGGCGCATCCCAGTGCACACGCAAAGGGCCTGCCGTGCTATCCGCACCGCCTAGCAGAGCTGTTTGCAAATCACTTTGCCTGAATCCTTGTCTAGGGCATTTCCAAAATTCCCATGTCGAGCATATAAGAGTTTCGAGGGTCTTGGCCGAGCGGCCGGGGCAAGCCTCGTCCTCACTACCAACCGCCACCAATGCTTTGTGATTTACGTACATTCACCCAAACTCCTGGGGCAAGCGTCCTTCTCATTGGCCCCGTGAGAATGTGGCCCTGGACCGCGGAGGCGGGCCTCGAAGCCGGTGTCAAAACTGCCAGGGATGGGCTCTTTCGCCTTGAAACTATTGATCAGCCGTGGGGATCTTCCTCGCCTAATACGAGCGACGAGTATCCAGTGACAGCGGGTGGCATGGGTAGGACAGGTGGCCCGTGCTCTTGTTGCAATCTTGAGACGATCCCCGGATCGCTGTTTGTGTCACCTCCGTCCACACATCTAGATGCACCAGAGGTTACACAGAGAGAATCTTAAGCTGACATGCCAAAGAAAACACATCCAAGATTCAAGAGAGAAAGGTGGCAAACAAGGCGTCCTTTGACGACTGTTCCCTCCGCGGGGTCCTCCGTTCTCTATGGAGCACTCGAAGAAAGTTACTTCTTCCTCCTGCCTCACTAGCCATCTCCTCTCCTGGACACACTCCTTCAGCTCAGCTGGCCTCAAAGGGGGTTGCGGGTCGCGGGTTGAAAGCAAAATCAAGGATTTGAGCTACGTTTTGAGATGGGCTCTTCCCTAATCGTACAATCCACCAAGCACCAAGGACGGAGGTGCTGGGCATACGGCACGGCTCGGACGACTTTGGAGACATTACCACAGCTCGATCGAGCTAAGCTCGCCTCCTGATCGGTTCATCTTGTCGCACTCTTTCAGGATGGCGAAATCTTCACGGTTAGTATAGCCTATGCAAGCCACACAAGCCGCCGGCAAACGGCAACTTGGGCCTGCCAGCCGATGTTAATTCTCCTCTTCAGCTACGAAAGGGCCTTATGCAGTATAGCGGAGCTCGTTGAAGATGATGAAAACTCTCCGTCCACCAATGAATCGGCATATCTGGGCTATTCGGCGACCACGGCCATTAGCTTTACCTTCAAGCCCTGATCCCGTCGACTCGAAAGGATCGATCCAGTGCCCACCACTGTCTCGCTCGAGCAAGACAAGATCTGGGTTTCTCATCTCTCGTCTATCGGGCCCCCGCTGTTGCCATTGAGTGTCTACTCTAGGCGACCACTGTGGTTCTCAGCCGCTAATACAATCCATCCCACAGTCTGGTAGTGCAGGGAACCTAACACGGCCCGAATCCATCCTTTCATCCCTGTGGTTGCCGTCCAGTGCCCGTTCTGGGCCGGAGTATCGCTGCCATCTGGACCGAATCACCTCAGTGATGTCAAATACGTCGTTCTCGCCTTTTCTCTGTGGAAGGGCCAGGGAAGAGCCTGGAGCAATCGACGCATGGTGACATGGTCTCGAGGCTCGGAGAAAACTGCCGCCGGACTTGTTAGGCGAACATCCCACGAGGGATCTTTGCCATGTTGGACTTCCCAATTCATCTCATCATGTGCACTACTGTCCTGAACCAGCAGTCTCCGGACTAAATTATGCGAGGACCTAAAGGCCAACCATTGCTCACTTGTCTTATTCGCCGCCCCTGGCGGTGATATGGGCCGAACGAATGCAGAAGATGGAGACCCTCACCCTAGCAGCGTTGGTCAAAGGACGATAGCCACCCGGTCTCTGGGCCTTCGCTAAGTCTTCCCATTGCAAGCTTTTTTTGCCTTTCGTCAACTTGCATCTCGCTAGGCCTGCACCCCTGAGTGGACTCTAGCCGTATGTGGAATTGATACATGCATTGGTGTCGATTTGGCATAGTGGACGGCTGCACGCTATTGGGAAATGGCTAACCTAACACACCCTCCAGCATTGTCGTCCCTCTCTCAACTGCTTGCATCCCCATCCACCTCATGAGTTGCTGCATTTGAATGCTCTTTGGTGATTGGCACACAAGTCTGGAGCAAACAATACTGGGAACTCCGAACTGTGGCATCCAACCCCGGTTGGGATACTCCACCTTCCACCCTCCTTCAGCATTTTACATTTGCGTTTATTGTAAAGTTGTGCGAAGCGGGATCAACAGTCAGTCCCCTCTGAGGTCCCTGATTTCCATATTATACCTCGTGCCTGGACCCTGCCATGGTCTTGCAAACGATCGGATTCTCTGGCTATCACTTCGACGTTTGGACATCATCTGTTGACGTTATTGTCACCAATGCCATGATATATTCTACAAACGTCTCAATCTTCACTCATTAGCTTTGAAGACGAGTCTCTGTCCCGCAGGTCACTGTCAATTGAGCCGCTTGATATCCCAAGGCCACTGGATATCTGCTTCACAATACCAAGCTGTCTGCCAGTTGCACCGCAGACAATCATCATACCCCTTTGTCACGGCTGTTCGATCCGTTGAATGGCAAGGCAATAGGTGCATAAAACATGATGTTGACCGGCATCCCTAACACTCCAACTGTGTTCGTGCAGGCCCTTGGCCTCCCACAACCATCAGTGTTCAGTAAACGGCGGGCCAACTCATGCAAGCCCTGCCGTGACAGCAAATCAAGAGTACAGTGCATTCCCCAGGAATGTCGCAGTCTCCCTGCTAATCTATGGTTGCAGTGTTCTGGAGGCATGCCCTGTACGACGTGTCAAAAGAAGCGTGACAAGCCCGAATGCTTCTACCTTACTTCCTTTCCGAGGAATCAAGTTAGTCCCGGATAGCCATACAGACGACTGTCAGAGCACTGCTGACGAAGATGCTAGCCTAGACAAGTTCATGATACGGAGCACTCCCACGGAGAGGCGTTCGGCACCTGCCGTAGCGCCAAACAAGGGTCTGATAAGATGGGTGCGGTCGAAGGAGCCCGGGGGTTCGCAACTCCGCAGCAACACTTCTGTGGAAACCTCTCGCTATCCAAGAGCATAGACGAAGTAATGGAGCCCTCCCAACACAACGATGTCGAAAGGCTAACCCTCTGTGCAGTTCAAGTCGTTACTGCCTACTAACGGACGGTTCCGCGAGATCTTAGACTCGATCCGGCCTGTCCAAGTCTTCAACTGGGAAGGTCACGCCAGTGACGATGACCCAACAACGAACCAGAGCCAAATGGCAGAAACAGATGATGACTTCGACATTGAAATCCCAGCACGGCTTGAGCCACTTTATATGAAATACAAAGCCGTACGGAATCTACTTGATGCGGGAAGGGCAACGCAAGCCTGGGCCGCTTTCCCAAGTCTCGTCCGTGATGCAGAAATTCTCGGTTGTAAGTGTGAACCAGACTTCGCTCGGCTTGAAGTGGCTCATTGTGCTAACCTCTTCAGTGGACATGGATCCTGACGCAGCTTCAGGTGAGGCTGATAAAAACTCACAACCGGGCCGTCATCTCTGTTGGCTCCTCATAGAACTCGACGTTCAACTCAGCTTTCTCCTGGGTCGCTGTCCCTTTATTGCTTCCTTCCATGGCATCCCCAGGCCGTCCTCAACAGCCTCGAGGCCGGAAGAACAGGACCTCCAGGAAAGACTCTATGACTTTTCACAGTACATGCTCGAAGTCCTGGAGCGCTTCAACCGGGGCAAAAATGACCCGCAAATATTGTCTTCCCAGGAGAGGGAGCCCAGGTTAGAAGCAGATCTAACTCGACTTTACCACCTGCAGTCGAAGCTACCGCCGGTGCCGCAAAACAACTCGTCTGACCCTTCACTATCCATTGCAATTACCCAACATCACATCGACGTTCAACTTATGCTGATGGTGCTGCATTGTCAGATGCTCCGGGCGATGCGTAACCAACACACGTCGGCCAAGAGAGCCAAATACAGGGAGCTGTTGAAGTGTTCTAGGCTGATTACCGAGATGTTCGACTCCATCCATAGCCTCGATCCAACCAAGACGGCTTCATCCTGGCCGCGGTGTTTTGGTGTCTTTTGCGCCGCTGTGATGCTGGGCATCGCCACCATCCGCCAAGAGGTCGGCGTGAGCATAGGTTCGAAGCGTGTGGAGCGGACCTTGAGCATCTTTAAAGATCTTGGGAAAGCTGGCCAGGCTACAGGAGTTGTTGACCTGGCCATCACATCCCTGGATCTGGTTGTCGAAAGAATCAAGGAGCTTGAGCACCCTCCTACCAGCGCCACTGGTATCAGTCTTGGGCCGACCGTTACTTGTCCGACAACGCCTACCGGCGAGGTTACTCCTCCGGCCGCACCCTTGACCGATTTTGCGGCCAAAGTCAAGAGGAATGATGCGAACCTCAAACGTCGCAGAAGACCTAGCTTCGAGGGGAAACTGGGTGCCAACAAGCGACAAATGTTCGAGTTCAAGGATATCGCCCCGAGCCACCTAGAGCAGCGACGTGCAAGTTGGCATCCCGGGACTGACCATCATTATGCTCAGGCTATGGCGGCTTTCCATGACGCAGCTGCAAACAGCGTCCAAAATCGACCTGAGCAGGCGAGCTTCCAGCAGGACAAATGTCCGCCACCGGCAGTTTCCACCTCGTTCACGGCGAATGATCAAACAGCAATGTCCGCGGTGGGATATGGGACGACTCCTCTAGAGCAGTTCCACGAATTCCAGGCCGCTCATCACTGGGTTCATCCACCAATGATGTACCATCCGCCAATGTACGATGATTGGTGGCAAGCACAATTTACTCCTTATGATACTATGACCCCAGACCAGTCTCGACAAGTGTTTTTTGAGTCGCCGCTGGGTTTGCCCATGGACCAATCTCGGCATCTTGATACTACCCCGCGTGCCAATGAGCATGCTGGCTTTGCCCATCTCAAGCAAGACCAAGGCGTCAATCACGATCCCGCCATGATGATTAATACCTCAATGGTACGCTCGTTTACCCAGGCAGTATAACTGGACACACTGGGTCAGGCAACGGCGATGCTGGTTGACATGAGTACTTGTATATATGACTCCCGCTAGCCTTGATTGCAGCGTGGGTTCCTTGCACGAATGGTGGATGGGCTATTGGCCTCGTCCGAGCTACGTTTATTCTAGCGATGCAGATATGAGACATGCACAGACAGACACAAGAGTACAGAACAGGAGGCTAACAATGGGCAAAGGGCTATGTGACCCAGGACAGCGTTGATATATATATATATATGTAGCGAATGTACTATTACGGGATTTACATAGGTAGCGAGGTATTATGCACCAGTCTTGAAGTATTGTGTCAAGTTTCGCATGCCTCTAATTGAGCTGTATCTTGTCCGTGTACCGAGTACTTGTATAGACTTGGACATCAGTGCGAATGAGGAAGGCCCAAGCGAGTAGACCAATCACAGCTCTCGACATGGTTGAGCGACATACACCCCTCCGTCTTCGCCATCCTCATGTACGCAGCCGCTCAACTCCTAACCTCCATACTACTTACAACTACATATTCTCCATATGCACCACGCTGTTTCCCTACCTTCCAGTGCAACCATGTGAACCGTCGCCATGTATCCGCCGTTTGATTACTTTGAGCACCGCCGGGCCTGGTCAGTTACCAATTTCTCACCCTTTCCCTTCCCCAAGGCCTGTTGGGATGTATCACATTGCATCAACTCTCGGATACTGACGTCCTTCCAGTATAATCAAGCAGCGCCAGCGTGACGCTCGTTTCGAGTCTCTCCCAGACCCCTACAAAGGCCCGCTCACCTCCCAGCAGCGCTCTATCCTCAATGCCCCGATCGCGCAGCTCGTCCGCGACGTTCACAATGGCGCCCTTTCGCCGATTGACATTCTCCGCACCTACGGGAAGACCACCGCCGTGGCACAGCAGCGGACCAACTGCGTGACAGAGATCCTGTTGCCCGAGGCTGAATCGTGGGCAAAGGATGTGAACCTCCAGGGTCCGCTTGCGGGCATCCCTGTGTCCCTCAAGGATACCATCGCCGTAGCGGGCTTCGACGTTAGCGTGGGCTATTCGCGCCACGTCTTCAAACCATACAGCGAAGACGGCGTTATGGTGAAGCTCCTCAAGCGAGCTGGGGCCATTCCACACGCCAAAACTGCGCTGCCCATAACACTGTTGAGCTTCGAGAGTACGAATGATCTCTGGGGCGTCTGCAAGAACCCACACAATCCCAAATACTCGCCGGGCGGGAGTACGGGCGGCGAAGGCGCGCTGCTAGCCCTGAATGGATCGAGAATCGGAATCGGCTCGGACGTCGCGGGGTCGGTGCGTGCTCCCGCAGCGTGGTCGGGGATCAACTCTATACGTTGTTCGACTGGCAGATGGCCGAAGGTCGGTATGAATACTTCTATGCCTGGACAGGAAGGTATACCTAGTGTCTTCTCTCCAATGGCCAGGACTTTAGACGATCTGACCTACTTCACGCGGGCGTTTATCGGCATGAAGCCCTGGGAAGTCGACTACACCGTGCACCCCATCCCGTGGCGACAGGAACTGTACGACGAAGCGCTAGAGAAGAAACCGCTACGTATCGGCTTGATGACCACAGACGGCGTTTGCGCTCCCTCTCCAGCGATATCTCGTGGGTTGGAAATTACAGCGTCAGCGCTCCGCTCTGCTGGCCACCAAGTGGTTGAAATCCCGGTCTCTTCATATCCGCCCAATGCCACCCCCACCCAAGGCTTACAGATCGCCAGCGTGCTTCTCTGCGCAGATGGCGGCAAGACCTTCCGATCATTCTTCCGCACGGGTGAGTCTAACGACCCAGGCGCCGCACAGATCAATTTCTACATGTCTCTTCCTCGACCTCTTAAATATTTGTGGTACCTCTTCACGCGCTATGTCCGTCGCGATTCAGTGTGGGCGTCCATCCTGCGTTACTTCCATCCACTAAGCGCCTTCGAGCAGTGGCGCTGGGTTGCCAAGCGCGAAGCCTACAGGGCGACTTGGTTCGACTGGCTCAACCAACCTGCGCAACAGTTTGATTTCATCCTGGGGCCGGCAAACGCGACCCCAGCCCTGCCGCACGGCTGCATGAAGGAGGCGGTGAGCAGCTGTGGGTACACGTTTTTGTGGAATCTCTTGGACTACTCGGCCGGTATCATACCCGTTGCAAAGGTGGACAAAGAAAAGGACGCTCTGCCCAAGGGGTTCAGGCCTTCGAACGGAATCGAGAAGGGTGCGTACCAGTACTACGACAGTGCAAAGATGGCGGGTCTCCCGATCGCGGTGCAGATCGTCGGACGACGACTGACGGAGGAGAAGGTGTTGGGGTACATGCAAGTAGTGACTGATGCCCTGAGAGACAGCGGAACAGTCTACGAGCATTTGGACGTCGACAACCTCCCAGAGATTGACGAGCTGGAACGAGGAAACAGCAAGAAGATCCCTGTCGATCCCAAGAAGATCTGGTAGGTTCTGACCCTGTAGTGCGTCGATCGAAAGTATCAATTCGACACGGAAAGAGATGGTAGAGGATTAAGAAAGAAGAAAAGGATGAGGAAGATCGATCTCTTGTAGATACATATGTGTTGTATATACGACGTATGTATGTATACATGTATCCATGCAACATGCATCGCGCAGAAACGAATGAATGGATTGCCAAACAGCCTGGACCTGCAGAAAATTTACAATACATATCGTTCCAGATAAATTACATATATATACATGTGCCAGGTACACTTGCTTGGCATCAAAGGAGAAAAAGAATGTGTGGTATAGTAATACCTAGAAACCATGGAGCATGGCATTTTGCGAGCCAGTTTTTATGTATACATGTGCACGACAATCGATTGGTTGACGAGGTGTCATCCATGTCTGCCTGTCCCTGTTCACCTGTGCCATACCAGACCAGACCAGGCCAGGCCGATCGATATTACGTTTATAATATAATAAAATACATCTATTCTACAAGCCACATGCCACACAAGGGCCAAGGGCCAAGGGGCTCTGCGTCTTCGAGATGAGAGTTAAGACGATAAACTCGGTCAACTTCGTTCTAGCGGGTCTGGTCTTCAGCGTACTCCTGGACTCTGGCTAGCTAGTTAGGTAGCTGTCTTTGGCCAGCAAAATGGTTCCCTTAGGCGGTCTCGGTGTCCTTTGCAGGGTCTACCTCCTCATAGGGGCCAGCCTCAGAAGACTCAGCTCCATTAGAAACCATGGAGTGGACTTTGGGCGTGATGTGGATGCTGCCGGACTGAGTATAAGTCTCGCTTGGTGGACCGACGGCGCGGACGACCACGGTTTTCTGGACCAGGTCGACGAGTTCCAGTTTCACCGGCAAAAAGGAACGATACTTGACGCCCTTTTCCCACCCGTCATTCGAGGCCAGAATGACCGCGTAGACATTGAAAGGGAGGAGGACGCCTCTGAGCCCGCTGTCGTCAGGTCGAGTCCGGGTGGAATTGACAGAGGTCACGTTCACATCCCACACCTCTGGGAGTTCTGCCTCCCTGAAGTGGAACGCGCGGAACAGTGCTTGCGTGATCCAGTGCTTTCTCTCGTTGCGCGAGATCTCACGTGCCCATTCGTACATTCTGGGCGAATGCTCGACTATGAACTTGTCCACCAGCTCCTTTGAGATGGGCAAGTCCACCCTGTCGCCCGGATCACCCGGCTGGATGGCGCCACTCGCTTCGGCACGGAGGTAGGCATCGGCCTGCCAGTGGGCCATCAAGTCGGGATAGCGTCGAAGAGGATTGCTGAACCACAAATGGACTTGATGGCTTTTGTGGACATGTGGTATGGGTGAGGACGATAGCTTGCCGGACGGGTACTCTGCATGTTCACCGCGCCCCAGTTTATTGAGCTTCGAGGGGGGGAAGTCTGCAGCGTACGAGGATCCGAAGAAACACGCAGGGAGCTTCCGGTCCTGAAACCACTTGCCAGCCGACTCTGCAACCAGGTCTCCACATAAGGCTGTCAACGTAACGTACTGCGGCATTTCTTTGACCCGATTCAATCGCATGTAGCGCGACACGGTGATTCTAATTGCAGGATCGCCCTGATATTGCTGGCTTCGGAATAAACTGTCTTCGTCAAATCGGCTGCCCGTTATGTGAACGTAACTTTGAGTCGAAAGGCTCCCCTGCACTTCCCAATCCGGCGCCACGGCCACACTTCTTCGGCGACTCTCCTCTCGAGCGAGGAGGTACTTCTCAAGTCTTTGAAGATCGTCGAGGTGCGCCTGGGCTTTTTCGATATCTGCCGGTGCTGCTTGTTGCAAAGATTTAGGCGGTAGTCCAGCTTGGGGCCCTAATGAAAGAGTGGCGGCTTCGTATTCGGGTTTCCCAAGAACCTGTTCCACTGCAGCATTAGTGAGGTGTATCACACTTCTAAGCGTGGTCGGCCGAATCTGAATGTCTTTGACATCACCATCTTCCGTGATAAGAGTGCTGATAGTGATGGCTGGCGAACCAGAGCGCAGGGAAAGTGCTCGTGTGAAGCTGTCGGGGACCATACGTGCAACGTAAGTGTTATGAAAGACACTCGCGGTAAGTTTCAGGGCACGCTGTGCTATGATGTGATCTGGGTCAATGAAAGCCGTAGGGTGCGATACATGGCCATGTATCCAGTATGCACCTGGGATCTCGCTGCTAGGTCCGATCGAAAAACCGTCTTCTCTGATATTTGTTTCGCCAGCGTCGATGCAATAAACCGGCAGATGGTCAAAATCTTGTCTCAGGCCTGCCATGGAGTCTACGAGCAGACCATGATCGAGTGACTTGCTCAGACCTGAGTCGTGACAGAAGCGATCAGCCTCGTCATAGATGCGCGTCAGCTCGTGACTACCTCTACCGCCTGGAATCTCAAGCGTTACATTATGGTCGGAACGAAGAAACCATGGTGGTAGAGTTCCCAACTCTTGCAGCAATAGACAACCCATGTTTTGGTCGAGACGAAGCTTGGGGTATGCGCCGATAGCTCGAAGGATCAAAGAAGCAATGGCAAGATTTCGGTTGTTGTCTGGTGGAGGGTAGCGAACATAGCAGTCCCAAAGAAATTCTAGGAACATCTTGTCCTCTTCTGTGAATGTTTCATCATTCTCTTTGACGGGAATCTTGCCGTCCTCAAGGTCTGTAGGCTGGATGGAGCTGGGTCCAAGACTGCCAATTGTGGTGGGAGACCGTAGGGTGCGGCTCTTTAAGATCAACCGCCTCGCCTTTGTAACGAAGGTAGTCAGGGGATTGCGTGCGAGAGCACCGGCCACATCTTTGCCCATAGCGGCGGCAGCAGCAGCCTCCTGGTATTCTCGAGCCCATGTACAAACTTGGTCAAAGCGCCTTGCCAACCTTTTGGGCATAATAGCTACAGTTGCAGAGGGATAGTGAGTCTTCTTCAGGACAGTAATCTGAGCAGCATGCTTCCTTCGCAGCGCCCTATAGATAGTAAAGAGTGCCGCAGGAGGTGCTTCGGAGTACTTGACACCGAGCAATTTGTTCACAACTTGCTCGTACGACAGGGATATATACCTGTCTTCGTTGGCGATCCGTTCGTAAAGCGAGTCGAGAAGAGCCATGTTCTCTCGCCTCCACGTGGACATGTCGTCGACGAACTGAGCAAGGCGGCTTATCAAAACTTCGGAGTCGATAGAGGGAAGATCGCCAGCAAAGCTGTAGCCCATCTTGACGTCAAAACCTGTGGCCTGCATCTCAAGTGGCTTGACTGGCAGATGCTTCCGCACCTGCTCGATTTCTTGCTGGGAAGCGAATTGTTTGTAACGCGGACTGGGCTGCTGAACCGACTTTTCAACAACCCAGCGACCGTCAGATAATAAATACTGACGCTGCCAACCCAGTGTGCCCAGGAAAATGGCCAGTTGCGAGCGGGCAAAGCGACCAGCGCCAGCCGTGTATTTGCCAGGCTGCCACCATATCAAATCGCCCGGGTCGAGATGAGGGACATTGCCACCCTCTACAGCATCTTCCCATGTCTCAGGGAGGTCATCCGCACCCGACTCTGCATCCTCGCCCAGTGTGTTGTCACTGAGGCTTGCTTCTTCGATGAACAGAGAATTTGGTAGTACAGTGAGTCGTTTGAGCTTGAGGGAATCGCTGTGTGCATCCGCCTCTTTCCTCTTTTTCTTGTTGTTCTCCGCGCTCCATGCTCTTAAGTGGTTGCGTATAACTGAATCAGAAGAGACGGCGGTATTCGTCGACGATGATGAAGGGCCCCGCGCAGTGGTTGAGCTTAATGGGATATTTCGAAAAGTGTCGGAGGAGGCTTGAGAGGTCTCGAGTGACGCCAGGCGAGGGCTTAATGTGCTGAATGGCTTTCCATGTTGTCTGAACTGCCCACGGATCGGTGCAGAGGCAGCGGATCTATTTCCTTGGTTGCGCCAGAGAAATGTTGAAAGCAGAGCATGTGTCCGACATTCTGGGCAAATATATCGCAGTCGCTTCTTGGTAACATTGCCTGCGTGGTTTCTCGATGCCAGCATATTCTCCCTATGTACAGGTCGGCACGAGGAGTTGGGTCGAAGAATCAAAGAGCAATTGAATGAAGACGACGCTGGAGATGGAGAAAGTCGTCACCATTCGTGTTTCTCCAAAAAAAGAAAATTGTGGACGCACTCCACGTCTCCGCGTGTTACAGCCCACCAACCAGCGAGAGTGCGCTTGTGACTCAACGCCGGGCACTTTTTCTATTTAATGTCGCTTCTCTTCTCATACACTGGATGTAGAGGAATTCAGACCGACTTGCTACCGCTGACATGCCGATCCAACAGCCCGCCAACCAGATCAAACTGACCAATGTATCGCTGGTCCGATACAAGAAGGGCAAGAAACGGTTCGAACTTGCGTGTTACAAGAACAAACTACTCGAATACCGCTCGGGTACCGAGACCGACCTCGACAATGTCCTGCAAGTGCCGACCATCTTCCTGAACGCTTCAAAGGGTGAAACTGCCCCCAATGCCGAACTCGTCAAGGCATGGCCTATGCCTGAAAAACAAGAATCGGGAGGGAAAGGTGGTGGAAAGGGCGGTAAGAAGGGCAAAGGGAAATCTACAACGGATGAGGGGGAAGATGAAAAGTCATGGAAGGACGCCATCGTTGAAGAAATTCTGAAAAGGGGCGAGATCCAAGTCAACGCGAACGAGCGCAAGGAACTGCTGGACAGGATGGAGAGGGAGATTGTGGAAGAAGTCGCCCAGAGACTGGTGGATCCGCAGACAAAGAGAGTCTATACCACAGGCATGATCAAGAAAGGGCTAGACGTGCTCTCCAAACAGGGCGGTCATGTTCCCTCTCAGGACTCCTTGGGCCACAAACTCGGCAAGCTAAATCTGGGAGAAGGCGTCAAGAAGGGAGCTGCAGCGCCAAAGGGATCAAGCGAAACGAGTGGACAAGCAACGCCAATGACGGACGAAGACAATGACTCGGCGTCTGGCGGCACCCCCAAGGGCAGAAAGAGCGACATGCCATCATGGACGGGCGTCGTGACCAACAAATCCGTCAAACAGCAGGCTCTTGAAGCGATCCGTGCCTTGATCGCCTGGCAGCCCATTCCCGTCATGCGTGCGCGTATGAGACTGCGGATTACTTGCCCCACCAACATCGCAAAACAAGCCGCGAAATCCAAAGTCGCCAGTACAAGCGCAGACACTGGCGAAGACGCCGGAGCCGACCAGGGCAAAGGCACTATCAAGGATCGCATTTTGTCCTTTGTCGAGCAGGTCGAGAGCCAGGAAGTGCTGGGTGAGGAGTGGGAAGTGGTCGGATTCGTGGAACCGGGCGCGTTTAAAGCCCTGGGAGAGTTTATTGCCGCCGAAATGAAGGGAAGAGGCAGGCTGGAAGTGCTAGATATGGCTGTTACCCATACAGACGATTGAGGAGAATGGGTACAGGATAACAGCAGAATGGATGAGGAGGTGACTCAAGTCGATCCCTCTTGCACGAAGGCGATAAAGGCCAGACCAGCGACGACGTTACTCGATATGCTGCCCTGGATCCTAGGACGAGACAGGTGTCTGACAACCCGACGCGTGACTTAAGGTCAGAAACGAACGACATTCAACTGGGATGACACGGATACGACACATGCCATCATGCCGGCTGTCCATCAGGAACCCGTTACATCCAGGTCCAGACAGCTTTAGCATCAATTGCAGCACAACAAGTCCCTTTCTTACGGGCTTCCCCACCAGGTATCAACGAGATACCGACTTACGAAACGACTTCAGACGTCACCCATCGGGAAGACCTCTCTGGGTAAGGAGGGAGAGGGGATTCCGTCGTCTTCATAAGTTTTATCCACCCTTGGATCTCTCCTCCCAGCAAGGTCCACAGATGCAAACGTGAGTGTCCTTATACATCACGAGGCTGCGCACGCGGCCAGGATGCGACGGCATCTCCAGCAAGTTCTCGGTATACAAGTACAAGTGATGCCACCTCTCGCCCTAGGCCTTGGTAGGCGGACTGAGACAGGAAGAGCAGTCCCGGCATCTAGATAAGGATAAGGGAGGGCGGGAAATCGGGAGAAAGATAGTGTACAAGCAAAAGTGAATAGATGGGTCACCTGCAATCACAACCCATTAGTCCAAACAGCATCCTCTAGAGAATTCCATAGCTACCGCATTTGACAGGAACTTTTGTTTTCCAAGTAGTATTGTGATAGGTCACGAGATTTTATTTATCCTCACATTCACCCAGGCAGCCAGGCAGCCATTCAGCGGCTGAGTTTCCTGTCCTCTCACGTGCGTGCCCTCCCGTGCCTCCTACATATGTATTGTTCGGGACACTCAGAATCCAGCGTCTCGTCGACGATTCAAGTAAACGGTCCACGAGAGAAACAGAGTGCTGAATGTACAAAGTACTCGTACGACAAAGTGGCCAACTTTCCATGTTCCTGGATGATGTGAGGGCCACCAATGGGTGTGATTCGTGATTCAGGGCGAGAGCCCACTGCTACTGTTACCCAAGCTGACTTCGGACCTGCCAATTCCTTGCAGTGCAACGGAGACGATGTGCATTCACACTCCTTCCGCCCGATCCGACGATGCATTGGGGTTGTTGTCGTCAGAGGGTCACGCCTCCAACCCGTCGTGTGATCAAGTCTATACCTAGTCCTTGTCCGTCAATGATGACGATGTTGTCGTTTTCTCTGGAAATAGGAGACCCTTTGAGGAGGAAGAATAAATGAAATGTAGAAGTAATAAATCCCGCTGTGCTATGCAGAAGTTCCGGGCCAAAACACCAACAAAAGCCATACCCATGCTCAGGTCTATATCCCAATCCATACGAGTAGTGATGCACGGTGCTCAGAAATTCGTCAACGTTGATTGCTCGTAGCCGAACATTGCCGCCATTCTCATGTAATTTCCCTCACGTTGGTTTGGAGAAACCAGAAGGGTCTGCGATCAAGCAGTAATTGTACATTTTGATGTTGTCCCATTCCGATTTCCTTGTTTGTCTCGCATCCATTTGGATCGTGTAAAGTTGAGCGTCATCGTAAGTCATCATTTGGTCCATCTTATATCAAGGTGTGCCCATGGATTTTGGTTATCATAAAGCGACTCCGATGCCTCTTTCGCCGAAATCCCTCTGTTTCAATGTCGCTCTCGTCATAGCCTGCTCGAGCTCCTCCGCTGTGAATGGCGTGTCGTGCCTGGTAGCCTGCTTGGATAGATCTGCCAATTCAGGCATGTGAATACCGCTGTCGTGCTGAGCGAGCTTGTTGTTTGGTTCGGCGGGTGCCGAGGGTACTGCTGTGGCTTGATCTGAAAGGGATGCTATTAGAAGGTCAGTAAAATTACGGATTTTGACAACCGACTGACAGGATCTATGAGAAACTTACTGCTCGCGGTATCCGCATCAAATGCCATACTGGCACTGGTGCTCTTCTGCCTGCTCGTGCTGTTCGAAGAACTGCTACTCCCTTCTGAATCCACGCCACTCGCATTTCTCAAGGCCGACCCATGGAGTTCCTGTATCGATGGTCTCCGACTCGCTACCCTGCTGTGAGCTCTACTGGCCGCGGCGCTCTGTGAATTGGTCCCCCCCGGAGAGAATGTACCAGAGAGGGCGAGTGAGGTTCGTCTCCGGGCAGATGAGAAAGCGTCGGCAAGCGAGAAAGCCTGCAGAGAGGCTTGGTGTTCGGGATCGACCTTGCCCCGATATTTGGACTTTGGGATCTCGTTGGGCTTATAGTATTGAATATCCTTCCGGCTTGTGTAATATGGTTCCCCATTGGGCCCAGTCTCACTTCCCGTGCTATTCTTCTTGGACGTAAAAGTCCTCCGTAGTCTTACGCGTAGACCCATTGTGCGTATGCGATGTGAGGGAGAAAAGAGGTTCTCGTCAAGTGGGCGCTGACAGTGTATCGGACACTGACCCTTGGTCGATAACTGATAGATAAGCCCTTTTCACTAAAACGCGAGGTCGGCCGTGGTCGATGTTGTAACGGGGGAATTGAGGAGTGGGATGGGTCGCAATGGACCAAGAGACTTCATATGGGTGCCATCAGGTTGGATTTGAGAGATGTGGAACGGCTGGTGGCCAGAGGCATATCAGACGCAGTCAGGAGAGCATGGGGGCCCGTGGGTAGGAGTGACGAGACGGTGGGCATAACTGTTGTGCTGGAAATCTGGCACAGGGTGGAGGAGAGGAGCCGGAGGAGGATGGAGATAGCCGTGGGCACTGGTCGACCATGGTGGCATGCTAGGATAAGATGTGCCCGTGCTCTGTGCCCTGCCTTTCCCAATGTAGCGGGAGCAAGTACCCACTCTCTGCGCCATGGTCGGCGGGATCTATCGCAGGTCTGAGCATGGGCAATGGGTGCATAGCGTACTTGGGGAGGTAGTGTACGAGTAGCATATCGCGAAACCCGAGAGGCGAGGCATAAAAATGGAGCAGGTCGACTGTGAAGAAGGTCAGCGAGCGACTAGACTGCCAGAACTGCCCAACGGTAGCCAAGGGTGGCAGAATCCGACGATTCCGCCGATAGGCCTTCCATGGGTGTGGGTTCTGTATGGATCTGTCAGTGGTCGAGGCGCAGGTTGGGCGAATCGCTCCGTGGTGAGATGTGGTCCCAATCCTACCTCAACTACTCCGTAAACTGCCTATTTTCTGGGGACAGGACGAGTTTGTACAAGTGTGAGGCCATGAAGCTGGTAGGAGTTGCCGCTGGTCCTCCTGCAATGCAACGTGCTGGTTTCCCCGGTATATCAAATTGGCCGCTGGTGCCGCCATAAGCAAGATTCCTTGGTAGTAGTACACCTACCAGGACAAGCATATCCAAGTACGAGGATTCGTTGCATGGCGATCCAAGTAGGCGATGCGACCTTCTAGAAACATTCTTGTTCCGGCTCTTGTTCTGGCGCGGGCGGTTTTTGCTGGATGTGGTTGGGTGGCGACTGGCCGCCCCTTGCATTGGTCGCAGGCAAGCCTGGACCCTGCGAGACCTTTAGCCTAGGAGCCCTATCAATTCCACCTATAACACCCCGAAAAGTCGACTCCAAATGCACCTGTAGCGTGGCTCCCTTCCACAGCGTGCTCCCTCTAGTCCTCCAGCGATTGTGGTCCTCACCCGACGTGCATGAGCGACTTGTTTCTGCTGATAAGGATTGTGTCGGACCAGGTTTCTTCAGAAGAAGATCAAGTTCTCCTTTGCATCACTCCACGGGCCAGACACGTCTCTTTTGCCCGTCTTGCCCGTCTTGCCCGTCCAACCTCTGACCAGAACTCAGAGCCATCTTCGCCACCAATGAGTACCACAACGGCGATACCTCGCTCGACGCAGTCTCACGTGACCACTCCTGTCCTTTGCCCAGATTTGGGGAAATGACGCGTATAATTAAATTATCACAGTCCAGACGGACGAGTTTGAAGCCCCGTCGTCTCGGATAGTAACCCTCAAAATGGCCGATGTTGTGCATTAATGTCCACTCGCCCCAGGTTGCCAGGTTCTTCATCGCAGCATGATTGGTCGATCTCTCGAGATCTTGGTTGCTCGAAAATGACCTTTTTCGGTTTATTGGTTTCTTTGGCTTCTGCTGGTGCTGTTGTGTTCCAAGCATGACTTCATCGGTGTCCAGACTGGGCACATTCAGGGACTGGCCACAGCTGAGCTACTCAGGCTGCTCTGCCTACTACGTCTAGTGTTTTCATCCTCCCCGCTTCAACTGGGCAGCTGGCAGTGGCTAGGGTGGCCATCGGCCAATGAACAACTCTGTGTCTGCCGTCTGTGGCTTGAAAAATGTCCGTTGAATTACCAAGGTTGGAGGTTTGACGATCTGGTGTCATGGGGTGACGGTTTGAGTTTCTGAGGTTATGACGCAAACCATCAACCATGGCGCAGGGAGCATTGACTGGCGCAGCCAGCATTCAGCATCACCTCCCTTCTCCTCGTTTGACACCGCCGTAGTCTTCTTCTATTTGTGGTTGACGACTTTCTCTGTACTTGATCTGAACTATTTCGACAGAATCTAACAATTTCGAACCGGAATGGACAAGTTAAAGACCATGATGTACGTACCATAACCCCCCAGGCTCCCTCTCCGCCAAATACGCCGCGTGCTCAAGGCAAAGTAGGGACAAAGGAAATGTCGAGGACAAGACAGGACCAACTAGTCGATTGACAGGACAAGGGTCTCATTTCCCCAAGAACGAAGAGCAGCCTGTGGGTGCCGCAACTGGTCTCCTGGAAAACACAGCCGCGGGAGATACTCGAGGTGCGTTCATCCCTGGCTTAAACCACGTCCTTTGCATCGCGCCCATTGATATATCTAATCCATTAGCAGGCACAGAGATGCAACAGGCTCGTGAAGGCAGCCTGGCTAGTCAATTGCCTGGCCGTGGCCCCGGTACAGCTGCCATTGGCGAAACCTCGACATACAGTTCCCATACACTGCGTACAGGCGATCCTGTTCCAAATGTCGTTGACTTCAGATCCGAGGACCCCGCCACATACCGGGCCCCCGAACACTCCTATGTGTCCAGCAGGGGCATACCTGAGGGTGGTCCCTTGGCCGCCGCAGCCCACGCATTTCACAAGGACAAGGATTATAGTAGTATGGCTCCATGACAAGATCCCGGTGGTAGGCTCCATACACTGACATTCCCAGCTTCTCACCTCCCTGGAGCATTTCCCAGTGACACAACAGCCCATGACGCTACCACAATCGCGCCTTCTACCTTGACGACGACAACATCACCAGCCGAGCGATCAGCGGTTTACCGTGAGGCCGAGAAGACTAAAGTGCCTGATGCCGCTGCCGCAGCCCAGTTCGCAACAAGAGCTGCCCCTGGAACCCAAGAGCCAGCCTCAGAAGAGCCCAGGAGCTCTGGAACGATTGGCAAGATCCTTGGTGCAGTGGGTTTAGGGACTGCCGCAAGTGGTGCTATGGTGGCTACCTCGAGGGCTGAGGAAGATCAACAGCACGCCGTAGCAGACACTCCTAATCAACCTACGACTACCACTGGCGTCGAAACCTATACCTCCCCGAGTCGCTCAGGGCCTCCATCGTCACATCACAGAAAAGAGAGTATTCCCACCACAGCCTACCCAGCAGGTGTGGATTCTCCTGCGCCGATCAATCCGCCGGTCGGGGGCACCTCCGCAACTTCAGACCAGGAGGAAAAGGACCAGGCAGCTCGCAATACGGGGCTGGCCGCTGGAGCGGCTGGCGTTGGGGCTGGCATGGCGGCGGCGGGCGCTTATTCTATGCGAGGTCGAGAACAAAACACAGCCAAGACCGACTGGCCTCTTCGAAATGACACCACGGCTGCGACGCCCGCAACGGCAACGGTTCCCACATCGGAGGGCGCTACCAAGACAACGCCGGTAGGTCAAACCGCCCGACAACCGCATACCGCGTATGAGGCTGCACCTGCTACGACTGAAACATGCATCGTATCAGAATACAAGCAACCTCAAGAAAGACCAGAGGTGCAAACCAAGAAGGACAAAGCCAAGCAGGAGGCTACCCGTGCTGGGCCAACAAGTGCCGAGGGTGGAGCATCCAGAACATCCGAATACTCTGAAGGGCAGGATACGGTCTCAGAGGAAACAGAATCACGGAGACATGAAAAGGAAAAGGAAGCTGCGCTTGCTGGAGTTGTAGGTGCTGGAGCAGGGGCTGGAGCTGCTGGGTTGTATGAACATAATAAGCGGCAAGACAGACTGGAGGAAGACACTCAGAGGCAGAAAGATTTAGCGGAACAAGAGGCTGCCCGCCAGAAGCAGTTCGAAAAGGATCAGAAGGCAGCTGAAAAGCAAGCCAAGAAGGAAGAGAAGCAACATCAAAAGGAGATTAAAAAAGAAGAGAAACAGCACCAGAAAGAGCTAGAGAAGCAGGAGAAGCATCACCAGAAAGAAATTGAAACGGAGGAGAAGTATCACCATAAAGAAGTCGACAAGGAAACCGCCGCTAGGGAAAAGGCTGCGGAGAAGGAAGAAAGACACCGGCGCGAGGAACTCGAGCGCGATCAAAAGGAGCGTGAGAAGGCTACAGCTGCTGCTGCCGCCGGAGCTGGTGCATACGAAGTGCATGACAAAGACCGACATCCGCCTCCCACAACGGTGACCGACGAATCGGGTCGGACGAAACTCCACAAAGAGCCAGAGGAGAAGAAGCCGGGTCTTTTGAAACGAATCTTCAAGCGTCGCAAGAACAAGGATACTGGCGAAGAAGAAGAATACGAGGACCACGACCATGATGAGCCCGAGGCTGAGCATGGTGACCATCATATTGCCGAAGCTGGAGTCGTTGGGGGCACAGGTGCTGCCGTCGCCGGGACTGCTGCTTCTTCTTCTCATGAGCCACCCGCAAGTTCATACGAGGTACAGAGTGGTGGTCTTCAGAAGCCATCGTACAATCCCTTTTCCAAGGACGATCCAGCACATGAGCACCCGACAACGTCCAGTGCTCACTAGGAACGGCGCCCCAGAAAAATAAGGTCCCCCTACAGCTCCATGAGACTGAGCGAGCCACAATTCAAATCACACCCTTGATTCTCTCCGCAGCCCTTCCAGCCTCGCAACCCACTTCGCCACAAGATAAACGTATCACCCACAACCATCGGCAGAATTCGCGGCGCAACATCTATGTGCCAATGGTGGAACAACACCCTGGTCTAAAACATGTGCATCATCGATGTGGTGAAACCCGTGACAGTACAGGAAGAAGTTGACCAGAGTGCGGAACAAGCATCAGCATCATCACTGACAGATGCAGGCCGGCGCAAGGGCTGGGACGACGTGTGGTTGTGGGTTGTGGACACCATACACGGTACTTTCTAGGTGGTAGTGTAGGACGCCATGTACCGCCATGTTGCACGGAAGGCTGTGGTCAAGAAAGATCGTGATATCATCCATCCCTTTATGTCTCCAATTTAATCCTCTCTCTATGAATCTGACTTACATAGTACATATGCCTGCATGCAAGCAATAATACATCATCTATTTGACCAAACACAATAAATACCCAATCACTACCTAATTACCGAATTACCTAGATAGCTATGTAGGTAGGCGTAGATGAAATCACGGGATGAATACAATGATTTTCTCTCCTCTGCTAGGTAGGTAATGTAGCGTTCGTTATCCTATCCTATCCTACTGATAACAATTGGGCATTTTTTCCGCCCGAAGAAATATGTAAGTCACCATCAGCACCAATTTGTCTTTCTTTCTAGCTGATCGATCCATCGGTCGAACCCGCCGCGGCCGGCCCGTTTGCCGCTTGCGCTGTGGTGCCGGTTCTTCTGTTGTTCTTCTCTGCCCCTTTCTTTGTTCGTTGCTCTAGCTGTCGGTTGCATCGCGATTCGTGTATGGATTGCAAGGCATGGCATGGCAGCGACAGTGTGATGTGATGTGATGTATAATACAATACAATGTAATAAAGGCAATTTCCTTCTTTCGCTGCTCCCGCTCACCCCTGGTTCTCTGAATCTCTGATTCTTCGCTGCACTCTTCATCTTGTGGAGAGGAGTCGGGCAGTCGCTGCCGTGCGTCGCATGACAACAGGGGCCAGAGACTTGGGTTGTGATAGCAAACATCAAGACTGTTGCAGGAGCAAGAAAACACATGGACGCTCGATGATTGCAATACGTTCGTTTGTCGTTCCCCGACTGTCTGGCTGACAATCCACTCCTCAAAACCCAATCACTGAAAAGCTCCTGGCGCGACGAAAATGGTGTCCCCAAGCTTCTCTCCTGCTATCGAGATAGGCGACGCGACTTTCGTCCTTGGCTCGGAGAAATCGTCGCTCAAAATGCATCCTAGCAACCAAAGATGTCGTGGAACCTCGCAGGCAGCCATGGTCAACCGGTGGGCGGCGCACGTGCGTTTGCGCTATTGTAACCTTCTAGCCTGACTCCTAGCAAGAATCGTCCCAGTCCTGGTTGCCCTAACCCTTTTTGGTGTACAGTCTCGCTGCAATGTTCATGCTCCACAATTCCTGGAACAACAGCTTCGCTGCATACGGCAGGTAGATCTGACTGATGCGGTTCTTGTTATTACAGTTCTTGCACTCAAAAGTATTCTTCTTGAGTTTCGCAATCACCGTCATCAATCCGCAAATGTCACAAATGTGCACGCGGAAAGGATCCGATACGTCGAAAAGACGTTCTTTGAGGAATGACGAGGCACCATGCGCGATCATGCAGTCGCGTTCCATTTCACCGAAACGGAGACCACCGTCGCGAGCACGACCTTCGACAGGCTGTCGGGTCAAGATTTGAGTGGGACCCCGTGCCCGGGAATGGATCTTGTCGTCGACCATATGTCTGAGACGTTGGTAATACGTAGGGCCGAGGAAGACTTGTGCGACAAGTTTCCGTCCAGTGTGCCCGTTGTACATGACTTCAAAGCCTCGAGACTGGTAGCCCATTCTCCTCAACAACTCGGAAATCTGCGTCACCGTGACCTTTGTGAAAGGGGTGGCGTCACCTTCGTCACCCCGAAGTGTCGCTACCTTTGAGAGTTGACATTCGATCAAGTGAGCAATGGTCATTCGAGAGGGAATGGCGTGCGGGTTGATGATGAGATCGGGTACAATGCCTTCTCGTGTAAAGGGCATATCCTCATGACGGTATGTAATACCAATGGTACCCTTCTGACCGTGACGAGATGCGAATTTATCACCAATCTGAGGCACTTTCGTAGTTCTTACCCTGACCTTGGCAAACCGATGACCCTCGTTGGTTGTCGTCAGCAGAACCTGGTCAACAATACCAGACTCTGTAGACCTCAGGGGTGTCGATACGTCGCGCTTGATGTGCTGTTTCTGTCTCTGGCCGAGTTCTTCCGCATCTGGTGCCATAGGCGCAGTTTTGCCCATAATGATGTCCTCGCCACTCACGCGGACACCAGGAGCAACAATGCCGTCTTCGTCAATCTTGTCATAGGTACCGTGCTTGAGTCGGAGAGTGTCCGATCTTGTGGGCTTCTCAAACTGCTCTACCACGGAGTGGCCGACTATCTTCTCTGAGTCTTGGTAGGTACGATAGAACAGCGAACGGAAAAGTCCACGGTCGATGGAGCTCTGATTCATGATGACGGAATCTTCTTGGTTATAGCCTGAGTAGGTCGCAATAGCCACAATCGCATTCTGCCCGGCAGGAAGCTCTCGGAATTTCAGATAATCCATAGCCATCGTTCTGGCAAGAGGTTTCTGAGGGTAGTAGAGGATGTTGGCCATGGTCTCCATCCGTTGGTCGAAGTTGGTGAGGAAGACGCCCATAGCCTGCTTACCCATGGCAGACTGATAGGTGTTACGAGGCGATTGGTTGTGGTCAGGGAAGGGGATGATACTGGCGCAAACTCCCAAGATCATACTTGGATGAATTTCGCAATGAGTGAAGGTATGGGAGAACGGGTTTAGGAGAGGGTCGTTTCTCCGCAAAGGATCGTCTTCGGCCTCTATCTCCATACCCATCCATCTTGCTTTGGAGTCGGCCAGGGCCTCAGGTGTCATGATGATCATCGCCGTCTCTTCTTCCTCAGCATCAAGGTATTCAACAACGCCTGATTCGAGGAGATTGTTCCAACCGTATGGTCGGATTTCGTCTGTGAACTGGAAGCCGCTTTCCTTCAGATAAGCAGTCTGATCAAGCTTGTTGATGTGTTCCTTGTTCAGCACCAAGTTGCCACGGTTCTCTGAGGCTGGGTCGGTCTCAACCACAAACAGGGGGCGGACAATTCTTCCCGAGTCGCCGTTGACTTTGAATTCTTTCTCTCGAATGTCCCAAACCAAACTCACCTGAGCATCGAAGACGCCCTTTCTCCGAAGCTTGCGCAGGTCATCCACCAGGCGTTTCGGATCCCGTAGGACTACCGCAAACCACACACCGTCGACGAAGACTTTCGTTGCTTGAGGATTCAATCGAGGTTCCCAGTCTTCCAATGCTTCGACATGCTTAGTGAGGATATAATTTACCAGTGGAGCAGTCTCATAAGTATTTGTAACCATCGACATGAGCGACAGGTTCTTGACCAGACCACAAGCCTGACCCTCGGGCGTCTCAGCTGGGCAGACATAACCCCAATGAGTGTTGTGGAGTTGACGGGGCTTAGCAATTTTACCTTCTCGACCGATCGGAGCATTGGTGCGGCGAAGATGTGACAAGGTAGAGGCAAAAGTGTACCGACTGAGCACTTGAGAAACACCAGCTTTCGCTTTGTCCAGCTTCTTTTGGTCTCCCCAATTGCCAGTGGCCAAAGAATATTTCAGGCCGCTGGTGATAATAGGATGCTTGAAGCCTGCCATGATATTGATGGGCTGGCCCGCTTCTACGCGCTTCTGCATATAGCGGTAGAAGTCTTTGGTAGCTTTGTCAAACTGAAGCCGGAAGAGGTTGGTCATCAATGGTCCCGCAAGATCAAGTCGCTTTTTCCCTAGATGATCCCGATCGTCCGGCTCTGCGCGACCGAGAGCGCATTTCAGCAATCGATTGACCATGTAGCCGAGAAAGAAAGCTTTTCTAGCAGTAGCATCTGGGCTTTGTCCAATATGAGGTAGAAACTCCTTCTGCAAGATGTCTGTGGCATGCTTCTGCCGTTCATGGCTTTTCAGAGTCGGAATGTTACCTCGGCGTGCAATAAAGTCTCGAGCCAGATCCGCGCCCTGAATGGCCTGGCCTTCCTGGAGTGAGCCCATCAACATATCCATCATCTCTTTATCACTCTGGTCGAAGCAGATCTTCTCCAGGATATCGGCGTCTGAGACAATGTCCAACGCTCGAAAGACAATAACGAGAGGAATATCCTGTTTGACGTATGGTAGCTGAACTCGAATCGGGTTGTCGATCTTAGTGCCGTCCGGACCATCGACTCTACGGAAGAGTTTGACGGTGCACTGCGACATCATGCGGGCGCCGCGATCGATGACGGATCTGATCTCTGCGAGATGTGTAAAGGGCGAGGGCGCTGCCTTTTGGAAGACCTGGACGATGTTTCCGGCACTTCGTTCTTGAGCAATGAGCACTTTCTCGCTACCGTTGATGATGAAGTAGCCTCCCTGGTCATATGGACATTCTCCCCAGGCGAAAAGATCTCGCTCGCTTTGAAACTTTTCGCTCACCAAGTGGCAGGTCATGCTTCTCACCATGATGGGTATCTTTCCTATGTATACCTCTTTATCATTGTCGAAGTCATCTTCATCATCACCCTCTCTCCAGTAAAGTTCGGTGCCGTCTTCTCTCATGACGCCAGAGTCTTTGTCATATTCGTCCCAAGGACGCTCCTTTGCGTAGTATGTTCTTCGCGTCATCTTGACATAGACTGGACTTGCGTATGTTAAACTCCGCATTCGTGCTTCGTGGGGCATGCAGTCTGTTGTAGTGCCATCCGGCTCGACCTGATTCGGCTTGCTGAGCGTAACCTTGCCAAACTTGACCTCATGTCTCTTGATGACGATTGGATTTGGGTCATTTTCATCGACATTTTGGGCATGATCTAAAGTGACGCCACCCTTTTCGTTGACCAGATCTTGTAGGCCCGAGCGCATGAAGTGGTTGAATGAGTCTATCTGCATAGAGGCCAACTTCTTGATGTCGAAGAAGGAACTGATGACTTTCCAGCAGTCTTCAGATGTGATGTCTTGTTCACCAGTCTCCACCTCCTCGTAGGCACCAGCTTGCCCATAGTAACCGTTGGGTTCAGACTTCACGTCGTATTCCGCCATGGCCGGCGACCACTACTATCAGAGGGATGAGAAGGTGCGCTCGCGGACGGTCGGCGATGAGTGAGTGAGTCGATGCTGAATAAAGGGAAAGTAAGGAGAGGGAGGAGGTAAAGTCGAGTTTCCCTCCCTTTCTCAGTCGCAACTCAGATCTGCGGGATGCGCTCTGGAAAAAAGGGCACTGAATTGTCAGTCAAGACCTCAGATCCCTTCTGGGGAGTCACTCACGGAGCGACAGACAGCTAAATGCCCGAGCAGCAAGAGAAGGACATTCGGGACTGCATGAAGGATGGAGATTTGTAAATTGTGGTTGCTGTGTAAGGAATGCCTCTGGGGATCTTTTTGGCGCGTGAAGACGCCGTGGCAATTCTGGCCGCTTTATTCTAAAAAACGCTAACTACTTTTGGGTATATCTACATATTGTCTCCAGAGTGATTCCGGAGTCCTCAACAAAGTCAGAATGGCGACATGGCGGTCATGAATGAAGTGGGTATCATAATTATGCATAAGAATATGCATGTCAGCTAGCAGCAATTCGATCCTCCCTAATGGCATGATTAGATTTCACATTCACAAAACACCAGCTTCATTGCTCCACGCACAAAAGTAATGCTTCCAGCATCTCCTCCGTTGCCTTTGCTTCATCACTTTGACTAGGATCCATCCCGTTGAGTTGGTCTCTCAGGCTCCGCTCGAGAACCTTGAGCCCGTCTTCACCGAGGAGCACCGTGATGGTCTGCCTCGCTCCGTTATCTTCTGCCACCATCCAACTGAGAATTAACTCAATCGCCTGAAGTGAGAAGAGGCCGGCGTCCAGTCGCCGTGAAAACCACTCATCAGCCTGTGCCTGCAATTGTGCTTCGTTGAGATCCTGCCGTTCCCTCTGAATGTAGGCTTCCACCTTACTCAGTCTCGTCTTGTATTCCCGTCGCAATTCGACGAGCTTGGTGATCTTTTCGTAGTCATTTTCGACAAACTTGGCAAGGGTGCGTATTCGTTCGGCGGACCCTCCGGGCAGATACCTCAACATACTCGCAAGGATTCCGATGAGGTGCTCGACAAGGCTTCGCTCCATTTTGTGGGACTTCATAAGCATGCCGAAGATGGTCTTGAGTCCGGCCGCGTCCACTAATCTCATCGCGACGGCTATTGCATTGCCTCCACTCATGGCATGATCGAGCACTCGCAGCGCCCGTGCTTTGGCCAAACGCCCTTCTCGGAGCATAATGAGACACAATTCAACGCCTTCTCCTTCCACAAACTTTTCGCCAGCAAGCCGTTCTTCCACCATGCAGGCTAAGCAATCAAAGAGATTTTCTGCAAACTCTTCCTCGTCTGAGTCCTTCTCGGGATCTCGCTTCCGATAGGCACTCAGAAGTTCAAGAAGAGAGTCGACCCCGTCTTTTCGTGCCAGGCGATCTCGATTGTTTTTGTTGTTCTGCAGGAGTATGGCCAGAATTTCCGCCGCATATTGACGATTCTGCCCAACTTTTCCCCTCGCGTAAGGATCAACCCTCTTTATCCTCGAGAGGAGCCATTCCATCAATGAATCTTTTGACCCTGCAGCCTCCACGTTTCCAGTGTCGGATAAAATGTTCTCGATCACGTTCAAGACGTGATAGACTCCTGCTCGGTCGCTCTCATTGTTGTCTTCGTCCAATCTGCTGAGGTTGCTGGTCAGAAGATCCACAATGTCACCTTGAATCATGGCTTTGACCAAGGTCTTCCACTGTTCTTCCGTAGTCGTTGAGTCTTCGTCTGTGAGTTCCACGAGCAGTTCGCAGACGGCAATGGCAATGTCGGTATTCTCGTGCGCGAGCAACCCGACCAAACTGCCTGCGCAGCCCATTTTTACGAAGTCGGCGTACAACTCGCCATGTTCGCTCAACAGACTCAACCCTTTTATCTCAGCATCCAAGTCGGCCTCACTACTTACAAACTTCATAGGCTCGGACTCGTACTTGGCTCGCAGTTCCGCATTCTTGTTGATTTTCCGTTCAAAGTTGATGGCCGTGCGGCGAAGCCACGCGGAATCAATCTTCTCCTCCACTTCCCCAGCCTCATTTTTGTCGAGATAGTCAATCACTTCTCTTTCTTGTTTTGTGACACCGCCACCAAAGAAGCGGCCTTCCTCGTCATCTCCAACTTCGTCCTCGACGTCTTCCGGCGGCCGCGCGGGCCCGGCCTCGAGATCATCTTCCTCGTCTAGGACTTCATCTTGCACGAAAGCAGCTTTGCTGCCCGAACCGTTGGAGGCAGACTCGTCATGAGAAGAGCCATTTGCGGAAGAGCGTGGAGAGGAACCGTTGGCCAATTTAGCGGATTTGTTGGAGAGGGCATTGGAGAATGATTTCGTTGGGTCCTCAAGTTTTCGCTTTGACGCGGCATTGGGTTTACGGAAAAGGTCATCAATCGAGGTCATGACTGCTCGATGGGCAGGCCTATTCAGGGACCCATTGTCATCTTTTATCCTTGTGAAAGAAGAAAGAGAAGAGAAGTATTGCACCACCGGAAAACATAGGAAAAGCGTTCAGGGCAGAAAGATCCGGACAACCGCAATTGAGGCTCGGCAGAGTTTCCATTTGAGCGTCTGCCACATTTTCCGTAACAGGAAGTCAATTCGTCAATTTGTGCCGAGGAGCACGAAAATACAATGTCACTGCACCACATACAACACTGCTTTACATCAGACTGAATAGAAGACCTTACACAAGTGGTAGCTGGTGTTTGAGATGCTCAGATTAATGCACTCTCATTTGTTCCAAAGTTGAGGCTGCCATTACCCACCCGTCGTCCACCTACGAGATCAAAACATCCGACTTCTGCCACCACCAATTTCCTGATGCATTGTTAGTGCATTCCATGTTGCTAAAGAAGATCCAGACCTATCCATAACATTCACCGGAATTGTTGCTGGGATGGATATCTGGACCATAAATCTCATCAGTTTCAACGGTCAAAGAAATGTAAACGGAACTCGGGGTGGCCACGGTTGAACGGATTCTCGCAGTTGTGTCTTGTCGCATTCCGGCCCGAACCGTCCAATGACCTGTGCGATGTCCAGCTGCCGCAGACTGAGACCTCCGCGATCTGAAATGCCTGATTGAACTGCAAATTATGAAGACACGATGCGCAGAGAGGAATGATTGAAATTAGCGAGCAGCAATCGTCCTGACGTTTTACAGACATAGTCTCTCAGACTTACTAGTGCTCAGTCCTCTAAAGTTGGGAATGCATAAAACACTTCTTGGACCTCGACAAGGTCCGTGGAAGGCATCAGAGCCATTTCCATGCGGCCCTCATTCAACTGAACCCAATTTTTCATACTTGTTCTTGCCCGTTTTCAGTCGCTCCGCAGTATCGGTAGTACATCCTCTAGAAACGCCGCTGAGCACCACTGTTCCGCCTTTTCGCTGTCCGCATGAACCAACTATCATAGTTTCCAAGGAGCCAGTCCCCGCGCCTGTCCTGAACCATGCTCAAATTGTCTGCTAGCTGCACTGGGCTCTTCCGTAACAAAACGCCTGGCTGATCGACAAAACCCCCCTTCCAAGTCTGTGGGAATATCAAGCCGTACCACCGTCGTCAACGTCGATTATTTCGTTAATACTTCCGTCTCCTTATTGTCTTGGGCACCTCGTCTCCATCATTCTCATACTCCTTCCCTTCATTGACATCCTTCTTCCTCAGGGTGCCGACGCCGTGTCTCACCAGTTCCTGATCATCCCCATCCGAGTCCTCAATGTCGTACAGCACCGGCAAGACGAAGCTATCTTCTTCGCCCATCTTCCTCTCGACCGTCAGGATATCAACATCTTCGTCTTCTCTGTCCAGGCGGCGCTTCTGATGTTCTTCTTGTGGGTACTCGTCGAACTCATCCTCACGCTCAATGTACTCGACATTTTCTGTCAATTCCGTGAAATCAGGAGCCAATGCGGACCACTTTTGTTGTGGCTCGATGCCCCAGATCTGGATGCTACCCGTTTCAATGCTTGTGCAGGCTAGCAGGGGACGAGAAGGGTGCCATTCAATGATTGCGGGCTCCTCACGGTTTTCCAGAATTCGGAGGAGAGAGTTGGAGCGGAGTTCCCAGATGTAGATATCCTTCTTCATATAGGTGGAGGCCGTCACGTAGTCCGCGATGCCGGTGGAGGAGCTATGGCTGAAGGCGCAGTGGTTCCAGCGAAGGCGGTTGACCAGGTCTTGGAATTTGTGTTCGACATTGAGGACAATGTTTTCTGCAAGGGTGGCAGGGTCGCGCTCATGGTGGTCATCGCTACTGCTGGGGTCAGTGTCGGGGGCGGTGGAGGGAGTGATCAGACTCAAATCAGGCAGATTGATGGTGCGGATGATGCGATCGGTGCTGTTAGCGAGAAGCTGGCGACCATTGGTGGTCAGGCGGAGCAGGGAAATAAGACCAGCGGAGATCTTAGTGGAGTGAATGATCTTGCGCGACTCGGTCTCCAAAATATTGATGTACCCCTTCGAGGTGCCGGTAATGATATGATTACCCAGCACGGAGAATATTGCCGAGGTGGTGGCTTGCTTGTTCTCGAATCGAGGGATGCTATCACTTAACGGAGTAGTAGGAAGGACGCGCTTGACAGGAATGACTTCGGTGATATCAACCAAATATGGTCTGTCTTCGAAAAGGGAGGCGACAAAGAGCTTGTAGTTGTAAGGGTGAAGTTCCGCTGTGTAGATTGGCGCTTCGAATTTGACGGTGCGGATACGTTCTTGAGTTTGCAAGTCCCAAAGACAGGCTCTACAGTCCTGGGATGCTGACAAGAGGTAGCGACCATCTCGAGACCAGCTGAAAGACCTTAGGAGCGTGTCAATGAATTATATTGAAGAGACGTACCTCAAACTTTGAATCTGCCTCCAGTGACCATGTAGTTTCATGGCAACCCCGAACGTCTCCATGTCCCTTGAATGACGTGTCAGTCATTACCCACCAATTTCGATCGAGCTGCCAAATCTGCACTGACCAAATTATGATCTTT